AGCGGAGACTATGAGCTCGTTCCGAGTTGGGATGTGTTGGGAGATGTAGCGCGTGGCTTTGTGAAGTTTTATTTCGACGGGGAGACGAAGAAGAGTCCGTGTGAGGTGAAGAATTATATATCTAGATTACGGGATGACATGATCGAGAAGACGAAGCTATCTTTACTTCTCATGGCAGATGAAGATAAATGATAACCATGAGGGATTCTTTTATTATAAAATGGACCATATTCTTTTCTTTGAGATGTTCGTCTGTTATAGAGTTCCATCGTGAAGGGAATTGGGGTGTTCGGGCCGTATGGCTTCTTGTATGGGCATACATCGTCATCTGAGGCACCCTACCCGGTATATTGCATAATGTGGACAAGAAATTTGAAAACTTTTGATTGTAGCAGAGTCTAAAAATATCAGATGTCTCATATAGTCGTTGATCTAAGTTCTGCTTGGCTGGAGCCTGCAGTTGACAATATCACCTCACCTGTCTGAATCCATATCCGAGAGTATACGATCGGTGATAGCCATGTGTTCATAGTTGCATTATACGAGTATACAAAGTCAAAGGTCAACAATGAACCCGCTAATATCCCGTTACAAAGATGTTTCCCAGGAAATTGCTTGGGGACACTTTGCATTGTCTCAAAGTTAATACTCCTTTGTCCAAGCATTCAGAATGTCTTAAAGATACTAAGTGCAATACTTGTGCTAATAGGGTGCAGCCGGTGCCTAGCAAGCGAACTATAGCTCTACTACGCCACAACTGACCACCCTAACGTTTCTTTTTGTCGCTGTTGACTATAAAGTAACCCCAGAATTCTTGTCCCATCTGTTTCCTGTCTACATAGATAAGTCATACAACTACAGGATGGAAAACTCGTTAACAAAGATGTGTCTCGATAATTTAACAATCGACGAATTCAATAAGGCGTATCCGGATATACTGTATCCAAGCAGAACAACGCTCTTCGGCGCTGCATCGTGTTTGCTCGGATGGATGGGGATACTGAAAAAGCAAGGTCACTTGGGCACAACATTCGTGGGAATAACAGGAGGGCTTGCTGTCATGCGTTATTGTCCCGATCGTTTGCCCAGCATTGTAAGTGGATTTTATTACAAAAACACCCACGAAGGAAGCGTTCTATTGACTAACTAAATGAGTAGGCTCCTGCTAGGAATGAAGATATTGACGTCGTCCTGGACTTAGGAGATTCGACCTTGAAAGACCTCATGGATACACTGCACTCGCATCACTCGCAATTCTTCATTAAACACCGTGATACGCTTTATATACGGACAGCAAGAGGCAAAGTGAGGATCGACTTCAAGGTAATCCCTGCGGACGTAAGTGCATATATACGATCTCATAAATCTTACTACCTGCGTCATTGTTTATGACATGATCATAATCTAACTATGCCATTAGAGAAAATTGAAAGGAATGCAGAGTCTGCACAATATTTATTCGGTATATGTACCGTTCGTTAACAAGATAGACCTCATGACGTCTAAACTATACGACACCCACCCTGATTCTCTACCCTTCTCATCTTGCGGAGAGCTTGACACCGCAAGAGGCATTCACCATGGAACAGATGCGCTTCGACTGGCTCTGTTATTCAAACCGGGAAAAAGAATCACAGTCACTGTGGGGCAAGCTTGGCGGGTAATGAGGGCGTCCCTAAGTATAGAGGATTATATCGGCATTCCAGGTATTGAGTGGCTTAAATTGTTCCTCGTCTGCACCGAAGATTATGAAGGTCGGCCGGCCGAAGTTTGGAATCTGGAGGACGCTTTTTGGCGGATGGAAGTGCGCAACAATTTCGGACCACAAGCACTAGATTCATGGTACTACTAGCATAATACAAAATTCAGTTTACGGTTTTCTCTAGTTTTCTTATATGTTTCCAGCGAATTAGATATCAAATTTGTGTCAGTAAAAGTAGCATAAATAGTAACAAAGACCGCCGTCTACACAGATTCTCCCAGAGCATATTCTCAAAGCCTTTCTGGCCATTTTCTATTGCACTGACATTATCCATACGAGCAGCCCCAGGATGCCCAGCAGTCTTCCCTAGATAACATGTGCATGTATAGGCGTCATCATCAGTGGCAGTGTAGACTAAAGTTAATCAAAACACTCTAGTTGCCGTATAAAGAGTACATGCTTAGTGAACAGTAATTAGCTTTTATTATTATCGATAAATACCTTCATCCAAATTTAAGTGACGTCATCGAATGTATACAAATCAGCTTCTCACTCAACTAATTAAAGTTATGTGCCAATACCCATTAATATAACACAAGTACAGCATCAAATTTAGAAACAGCAATTAATACTGTAGTTGACCCCCAAACCCTGTCCCACAAATTAGTGTGTAGCACCGACTGTAAATATCTCCCCTCTTATTGGCTAACCGCAAAGATTCCCCGCACGTGACAGCGCGCCATGCGGGACGCGCCTCCAAAGGAAAGAAGGACGAGTTTGACCCTCCACCTGGATAAGAGATATCAATAACTTGAAATACTATTAATAATCTAGTTATACAGGAATAACTTCTCATTGAAAATGTCGTACTACGACATTGATGCCATCTTGACAGATTCCCAAGTAGGTGGAAAATGAAACTGCATGCCTGCATGGGCTCATTCTCACACATCCGATCTATTCAGAAACTACCCTGCACGTTTGAATTGGACGTACCTGGTCTTGGTATTTTGGAGGGGAATGCGGGGGAAAATGTATTTCTCCTATCTATGAGGTTGTCATTTTGTGAACGAAGTGTCTTGCTAAATATGTGGTGTGTGTGCTCTATCTAGATCAAAGCAGGAACGCGCATTGATTTGCCATTATGGCTGGGTGAGATGCTTTCTATCGGGTGAGTTCAATCCTTCACTATCAACATCTTGGAGAGATGGTATCATCTAACTATCGCAGTGCCCGCCTGGGAACCTCCCGCCTAGTGACGCTGGATCTCCCCTCCGCACTCTCAGAACGAGTCATGAATGCCTTGAAGGCTGATCCTCGGACGGTGGATCTACGGTCCCTGGCACCGCATTTCTATAGTCTGAGTGAGCGGATTCTGGAGCTGTTTGAGGAGGAGGAATTGGTGGAGGTTTTGAGTAATGTATGGTGCTTTTTTGTAACCCGGGGAAGGGGAGTGAGAAGAGAAGGCTAATTGTGATGATGATGATGATAGACGTTTAAGAAGCGTTCAGCGGTCATTGCGGATCATGCGCATAATCCGCAGGGTGCTTTAGGGCAGGGAGCGGATTTCTTGCGAGGGTTGGATGAGACGGAGAGACAGCGTATGTTCACCGTTGTGTGTATGTGTTGTGTGTTGCTGATTGCTGATGTCTGTGGATAGTTTTCCGGGTTGCGCATGATAGTGCTAAGGAGACGCGGGTCTGGGCTGGAGAGGCGAAGAAGAAGTGATGGTAGTGAGTGGAAGGTATGGTTGGTGAAAGGTTGAGCTGTGCTCGCCGGTATGAACATAAAATTATAACAGAAGACTAAGAGTAATTATGAAGTATCTAAATGTGATGACTATAATATTCATTATCCTTGGATTTACTATGTATGTATGGGTCTGATTGGTAAATGTGGTCATGGTGGTTGACATCTGGTTCTAGAAGTAAAGACTTGAAACGGCTCAATTAATGTCCTGCTGGTACTCGATTAATTGAAGGAACAACATGAAACAGTTACCCGAAACCTATCATCTAAGAATTCCGGTCAATCGGTGCGGATAACCCCTCACGCAGATTTCTGATCTTCATGTACTGTACTCCGTGCTCCGGAGATATGGAGGGAAGTCACGGGCTCAATGCTCCCCGAGATAAGAATGACAGGAAGGACATGTCAACTCCGACTGGCGGAGGAAAAAGCGCCTACGACCGGCATAACCGAGGGGTTGTGTTCTAAGGCCCACGAGCTGGGAGAGCTGGGAAGAATGGAAAAGGAAAAGGGGAACAAGAAAAAAGAGAAATATCTATTTCTGGGTGTCCGAGACGAGCCACGGGAAGAACGATGGGGCAAGTTATCTGTCACGGGGCGATGATGAAGGACTAAAGCTGAGAGCGATGGGGATGATGAGACGATGATTGCAGACGGACTGGTGTAGTGGGGAGGGGAGAACCACGGGCGGCCGATGGGTCCCTGGAACGTGGGGCAGCTTGAAGGGGAAAAAAAAGGAGGGCAAGTTGACGGATCAGATTCTGCTGCAATTCCGGGCGGCTACATTGAGGATGATTATACTAGATAGATGGTAGATAGGTTGATGGAGAGGAGGGGTAGTGGAATCGTGAGATTTTAGCCGATGAAGTGGGGGAGAAGGGCACTGACATTGAGTGGTAGCGATCCTTGTATATCCTCCGTAAGGATGCGTGTGATCAGTTGAGGGATGGATCATGGAGCAATAGGGAGAGGTTACAGTAGGGATGGAGTGTGGTAACAAAAGAAATAAAAAAAGGTACGGGCTTTCCAACCACTACACTTGAGCAGCCACCCTAGCTATTGGTGGTCCTCAAATTCAGGACAATAGCAGAAGGAGAAAGGCGATTGGAAGCTTAAGTTCAGGTTCAGCCGGCCCAGCCATCGGAGACCATCCACTAAATCCACTGCACTAAACCGCACTAAGCCCGCTGGGGAGATGGTGGGAAGAGCGACCGGGACCGGGATCCAGTTCCTGACTTGCTGGTGCTCCGCTAAGGCCATTTTAGCCCGGGTTTTAGTGCCCTGCGATCGTTTGTTCCTTGAGCCTATCTCGTTGCTTTGCACGCCTTTTCCCCTCTCTCGATCCAAGACCATCCAGACTGCCTACTTGCCTACCTGCCTGCTTGCATTCATCACAATCATCATCACGCATTCACTTCATCCTCAAATTCTTCTTCTCCCCCCCTCGCTGGCATTTCGTTGTTCAGTCAACCTTCTTTGTTGCTTGGCAACCTTCCGTTCATACCACAGTAACTTCCCCCCCAAATCCAACGCATGCCTGCATGCATACATACCGAGAAACTCAAGATCCGGATCGCTCTCACTAAACTAATCCCTCCCTCCCTCCCTCCCTCCCTCCATGGATGGATGCATGTGTGGAGATCATCTTCCTGTCACTCGGTCCCCTTTCTTGGCCGTGAGGATCCAACGATCGACTCGTCACACTTTCTCCTCACACTTTTTTCTCTTTCGCTCCCCTCACGTCTTGACTTGACCTCTTTTTTTTTTCTCGCTTCCTTCTTTGTTCTTCCCGTCCGAACTTACACTTCCTCCACTTCTGCCTCCCCTCTTCGCCGTTCCCACTAGACGCTTGGACGCGCAGTGGGCCTAGTTTCGTCACCAATCGCCCTTCCTAGTCGCGTTTTCTCACCTTCCGCCTGAGACATTGCTTTTTCCTCCTTGCTCTATCGGTCGACTCCCTCCCCGATCCTTCTGAACGAACTCGCGCCTAGTGGATACGATCCTGCGAACCTACTGCAGTCTAACTGGCATCGCGCATCTTGTCAATTATGCGCATTAGCTAGGCAACTTTGGCCCATCTCACCCGCAGACACACACACGCAACATGGACCGAAATATCCAAAGACGGAGCACCGTCTCGGTGCAGTCAACTGCCCCTTCTTCCCTGCGCCATTGCTCATTTCCCTCCTCTTCAAACACCTCGCCTCCGACCGATACGGCCTCCCTCAAACCCGAACCCAAGCTGAAGCGTGAGCTATTGACTATCCTTTCATCCCTTGATTGTCACCCAAGGGATACTTGAGACAAACAAAAGACACTGGACTGATCCTCTCTTCCCATGCAGGCCGGTCTGCTCCCCCAAAGCCTCTTGCCCTCGCCCGGGTCAAGGGAACCGTCGCCATGGACTCTTCGCCGCAAATGAATTCAGGTGCGGAATTCTTCCCAGCATCGGGCGTGCAGTGGTATTGATCGGACTATAGAAATGTCGTGGCTGAACGACGCTTCACCAATGTCGATGACACCCAGGACCGCAACCCCGAGAACGCCGCAGCGATCTGGCGCCGGTACGCACATGGCATCACCGCAAACTTCACGTAGGAGGGAGCGAGCGCACACGCTGACTAGTGATGGGCACACAGGTACTCCGGAACCTGTCCCTCCATCGCTCGTCAACCCTTCTTCGGCCCTTCTCCAAGATCTTCTCAAAGAACAACGCGCAAATCGAGTTCCCAAGGGAACTGCGTCGGAGGACGCTGGTCAGGGCGCCCCGCGCACGCCAGAACGATCTCACTCCCGGCCCCAGTCTCGATCTCAATCCCCCGCACAGTCCCAGTCGCAATCCCGATCGCAGTCGCAGGAAGAGGTGGGATCGGAGAAACAGCGGAAGATTCAGACCGCGCTTTCGTCGGGTCTCAGGCAGCCGCATGAAATGGGGGTCAGAGAAATGGGCGAGGTAAGTGTTTCTGGGTCATTCGTTTCAAGCAGCCTATAGACTGACTGACCAAATGGCAGTACGTTTCCAAGATTAATAAACAAAATTTCGACTTGAAGCTCGAAATATTCCACCGTGTGCAACAAATGGCCGCTTTGGAGAAGAAATTACAGCGTATGGGGCAACTGGAAGAGGAACTTGAGCGCCTGCGAGGCCTGGAAGACGAGGTTCAGGAACTGAGGGATGCCGAGTCAGACAATCAGCGACTAAGGGAATCCAACGAGCAACTACGACATGAGGTTGACAAGCGGGACCAAGCAATAACCGAGGCTGTTGATATGATCTGCCTTCTGGAGAATAAAGTGGCCCAGTTGGAAGCTGGTGAAAATCCATCGACACCTTCTACCACTCGCGGGTTCGAAGACGACGACCCCGGTGCTACGACTCCCAGGCAGAATACCGCGTTTGCCGCTATTGACATCCCGGAGAGAACATCCTCGTGGCGGGGTACTTCCCGTTCAAAGCATCGGCGGTCATCTTCGGATTCACATCAGCTCAAGCGAGCTCCTTCATTGTTGTCCGATGATCACAAGAGCCCCACAACACTGCAGACTACCTCAACTACTGCCGACGACCGGTCTCGTTCAGCATTGAGTGACATGACAAAATCAGAAAGTCTGCAATCTATGAGTGATTTCCTCGAGCCCGAGTCCCCAAGACTTAGTGCTCTGAGCGAATGCAGCGAATTGTACCCGCACGAAGAAGAAGCAAGCGATCGGTTGGACATCCCGGTCAAAGAGCGAGACTCATCAGGGGTCTCGGAGGCTCCCAAAGGAACGGTTGAGGATTCCGCCAGTAAAAGCCTGATTGAATCTTGGATCCAGCCACAACGTGATGCCTTCCTGGAAGATGTGCCGGAGCAGGATATATTACCCTCAAATATTCTCAGACAGACGGGTAAACCAAGCTTTGACAGCGACTCATACAATAGCTCGAGCCAGAAAACACGAGTGGATAGCGTGTTTGGAGGTTCGAGGTTACCCCCTACTCCAGACACTATGAGTACGGCCTACGCCACTGGTCCCAACCGGTCGAACGGCAGCATTGTTGCGGAAAAGAGTCTTGTTGATCAAGCTATGACGGCCGGACACGGTCGTCCGCGTTCTGCAGGACAACTTACAACGAGGCGTAACTCCACTAACAGTGCAGCGGTTGGTAGCGTGGACATGAATGTAAGTGATGCCACTTCACATCGACCTGACACGGATGAGGAAGAAGAATCGCCTACTTTCTTCCCCTTGAACAGCCTCACATCGCGGGATAAAAGGCTATATTGCCCAGAAACTCTCGACAAGAAGAGCCTTGGGTACATTGGCCAGAATGCATTCCTCAACGGGGAAGGTCTTGACAGGGTTCTTTCAAAACTCGATAATAGCTACTATGGGTCCATGGCACAGGATGAATCTGACAGCTCCTTGTCTTCATCGCCTCCTTTGACGCCCCAAGATTGGGTTGAGGCCTCTAAGCCGGATGCCAAACGCCGACGGGACAAGTCTGCTATGATGCCTGTTGTGCCTAAATCGAAAAACCCCCGACCTCAGGAGACGCGAATCACCAGCCAGTCTTCTTTTATTGGTCGTCGGCACAGCATCGATTCCACCATCAGGGACTCGGATGTTCCCATGATTCCCACACTGGATATACAGTCGCTAGAGTCTGGCTTGCAGCCTGGGCCCGAACTAGATCGTCGGATGATCGGACGCAAGATTAGCATCCGCCCTCCTTTCTTTGCACGTTCGGCGCCCCCTCGTCGTCTCCAGCCCTCTTTGATGTTCGATGGTTCGGATTCAGACGATGGAGCTCCTGCTCCCATTATTCGTAAAGCACACGATGACAATCCAGCCAAAACAACTAAGACGGCTTCCAAAGCCGAAAGCAATAGTTCCAGTTTTTCTTCGTCGGTGCCAATGCCTGCCGACGCCAAACGGGGAGATATTCATCGGACATTGCCACACTCCTTTACCGAATCCGGCTTCATGAATAATGCAGTGGCCAAACCGCCGCCGCCCGACCCCAAGGACCACAAGCGGCGCAGTTCCCTTGGAATCTTCAGCTGGGTGAAAGGAGCTAGCGGGCTAGGGAAGAAGGCGGAACCAGAGCTTCCAGTGAAGGCCAGCGCGCCCAGTACTGCCTTGGTCAAGAGCAGACCTCCTCGGGCGACTCCAGAGTCAGGAAAGAGTGCTTCTGACTCCGGTAGAACCATTGAGATGGGCGCGATGAACGTTGCCATTGACGACATTGCCTCTAAGTCTAAACATTCAAACCACGACGAAGAAACAGGCCGACGACCAAGGTACATCGACCGACGGGCTCGCCGTGGCTAAATTGGCAGTTGCCTTATCCCGCTTACGAATTTCTTTCTTTACTTTCTGTTTTCCTTTGCATCTTTCCCGGGACTGTTTATGATCTATCACGATACCCCATGAGTTACATGTCTGATGACACGGATTTGTACCAGTATTGCATGCGCAGCAGAGAGTACCGCGTTTCTGACGTTTTATTTTTGGGCCATTAGAGGTGGTTGCTAATTCTTTGTTGCTTGCTATACACATGGTATCTGGCTGGCACACGATATCATTTTGTGCTTCTTGCTTTGGTGATTTTATCAATACCTGACGTGCTGATCGTTCGTTCTTCATGGAATTTCAAGCAGTGATTCATACCAACTAGTCATTCCTGCGAAATTCCAGTACATCGTTCTTTCCATAATAGGTAATTCAATAAGTAATCTAAGTGCAGCGAGCCCATATATGTGAACCCGATACACGACCAATACTTTGCACCTATCACCACCTTACTACAACTGAAACACGCAGTATACTCCCCAACAAGAAGGCGTGACAATCCAAGACATATTGTGAGAAAGAAGAATTGAAAAATCTCAGCAGCTTCCAAAACAAAGCCCTAGGTATAATTAGCTCATCATATGTTCAATGAGCAATTTACGAAGTATACACTAGGGAGGCTGGGATAGTCAAAAGGCCATCATCTAGTAGTAAAGACCGTCCTACCGAGATTCGAGAAAAGGGCTTTCCTGCCTGCTTCTTGATCTGATTAGTATCATATTATATTATGTCTTCATAGAATGGATAATCCGATGCGAAATGATACAACATCATGTTACTAGATGCAACAAATAATCATGATTTCAAGTGTTTTATATGTTTCCAGATGATGGAATTAAGTGGGTAACACTAAGTACTAACTAGTTTCGTTGGACAGACAACTATGTCATAACGAATGATGCATTCATACTGATGATAATGATTGTTGTAATAGTAAGTACTTAGTAGTAGTTATCGTAATAATACTCCTCCTTAACGCCTGTCCTGTCCTGTCCTGTCCTGTCCTGCTTTGCTTTTTTCCGACCTACCAGTTGTTGTCAATCTATATAGTAATAAAATACCATGCAAGTATGCCATCCGCCATACCTTACCCAATGCACTCCGCAAAAAAACCAGCCTATATATAACTCCCTTACATAATACCTAAAACTCCAACATGAACAGAAGTTGGGAGGGGAAGGAGGAGGAGGAGGAGGAGGAGGAGGAGGAGAATCAATACCAACCCGTCCCGTCCTCTCCCCTCTTCTTCCCCTTCGGATTCATCGATATGATCCTCTGTCCAGGCAATGTATCATCCGCAATCGACGCCTCGAAAACTCCCGAAATAGACCGCTTCCCCAGCATCTGAAACGAATCATATCCCTCCAATAACCCATTACACGCCGCCCACTCCCTCGACAGCCGCGGTGACTTCCCGTCACCTAGATCACACCACCGGGTGACCACAATTGCATGTCGGAAGTGCAAGGAGCGCGGGTCCGTGCGATCCTCGGTCAACTTGATCTCGACGAGATATTCGGACGGACACTCCGGACAGCGGCGCATGGGGCGACATTTCCCGCACAGGGTGGCAATCGAGTTAGGGTTATGAATGCGTCGCGCCATGAGGTCCTTCGCGCGGTGTTCGAGACCCTGTAG